TCGTCCGTCGACAGACGCTCCCAACTTGCTGCCGCGCCTCTACCTGCGACTTTTGCTTAATAGACAGACAGTTGACCCTACCGCCGCTGCTGCCGCCGCCGCCACAGTCTCCTCACTCGCCTCCTCCGTTTCCTTCTACACGTCGGTTCGACGGACGGATGGTCGTTCGCCGAGTTCTGAATATCGCCCTTTGTCATTTTGCTTCTCTTTGTTTGTATAACTCCGATGGTTCCTTATCGGCGATGCCAGTGTTACCTCCACTCACCTCTTACCTCTGTATTATGTTTCAGGAGCAAAATGGCATCGTTAACGGAAGCAGCATCGATCACAACGACCGTCATTCGCCCGCGTCGGTGCCGGTCCTCGAAGATCACCACACGCATTCGGGTGCTTCAGAGGTCGTTGTTGACCATCCGTCTGCCGTCGTCAATGGAGGACATACCGCCTTGTCCACCGGTATGTATTTCTGACGATCGTACGTTTATCCAGTTAAAATCTAGTAGACCTCTAATAATTCTTCAGACGTATTTACATTTAAGAAGGAACCGCTAGAGTTATTTTTGGAAATTAACTCTGATTGCTGAAACAGTTTGCTAGAGATTGTTAGATTCAGTCCCAATGGCGAGAATAACAAGTTCCAGTTGTGTTACCTGGATTCGTATTTCGTGGCGTATTGCATTGTTTCCTTGCTTCTAGTAGCCTTATGGACCGTTTAAGCAGACCACAGTTCTTCCATGATATTCGAGCAACTAGTGCCAGATACATCTCGTGTCCGTTTGTTTTGCTAAAACCATCTCGCGCTCCTCCTCGCGCTAGAGCCAAACATTTTTTGATATTTTTTCTAAGGCTTTACGACTGCGTCATCGTTACGGTGTATAGCACCATGTGTTTTCCCATAAAATGGCGCTTATTTGTTTACGTCGAAACAAAGAAAGAAGAATGGCCCCGGCCGGTGCGAATCCAGGACCTTTCAGTTCTGAGTGTGACGTTGTATCGACGATCAACCCCAACCCGGATCTTATGTATGAATGAGTCGGTGTCTTGTACTTTTTAAGCCAGAACTTATGGGAATCTGTTGTTGAGTTTGAACTTCATTCTTTGTGGTTCATTAGTTTAGTGATACTGGATGTTTCGCTTCACAATGCAAGGTTGCAATTGGAGATCTTTGTGCGAAATTCATCGTTTATTCGTCAATGTATTAAATTTTGTTTCCATTGCGTTAATAGTTCTTTAATATGTCGTATCAAGTTTACTTGCTCTTTGCTTGTCTTCAAGTTTTATATGAAGCAGTGAAATGCGTTAAATTATGCGAATCAGATCGTTTTATAGGCATGGAAAATGTGGCAATTTCAGGACTGTAGGCTTGGCATTCATCATGAGTTTATGATTCATACCATGAATGTAACAGCCTAAACCTTAACACTGGTCATGAAAAAAAATATTTTTAGTCACGTGAAAATCAGTCAATTTTCATGTCAGTAAAGCTATTGTGATTTTTTTACATTAAAAGCCGAATTTAAAACAATGATTAAATGATGCTTAAACGAGGCAGTTGATTGACGTTCGGCACTGTTGAAATTAGCATCTCTTTTGCAGATCAAATGTAGCTAAAATTCTTGGCTGATTTAAGTAAAGGTGTTGAAATGAAAACTCGGTATTTATTTAACGAATATAATTGTGCAATTTTACTTTGAAATATGTTCGAAATTTGGTTCCAGAAAGTTCGATGGTACGTAAGTTTGCTCGCTCGTTTGCGAACACTTTTTAGGGAGCAAACGTTTCAAACAATATTCTTTTGAATTCATTCGAAAATTTTGACTAGCTGAATTTAAACGGTCGACACTCTAAAACTGGCGTAATTAGCGGGTTTATTCTTTTTAACATTTGAAATTCGTTGATATATTTATGTTAAATGTTCCGACAACAGCCCTTGTAAATCCCATATCAACTTTACTCCTTCCTTTCTCCAGTAGAAGAAGTAGAAAATTGGACGAGTGTGATCTACCTCGCACTCAATTCAAGCAAATCTATCACCTGTGTTTTCCACCACGTCAGATGTACAAATCGAGCTGTAATGGAGCTTGCCATGCAAGAGCTGCAGTTCTTGAACATCTCTTTCAAGAGGACTGTATTTATGATGTACCTCGCCTTGGTTTTCGATGAGAGAGAGTCTCTGCCACTTCATACATAAGCATCATTAGTCACTTTTTACTTTTCTGCTGAAATATGATTTCAACGTGCTAAGATTATTCCTAAGACGAGTCTCTGTGACATGTAGCCTTTCGCACAATAATGTACCGAAGCACGTCAATATCTTAGCGGAATCGCATGGCACTTGTGTCAATAACAACAACCTGGATGATAAAACAGTTACTTCGTTTTTGAAAGTGCTTGTGTAACTTATTAAAGTAGATGCGGCGTATCTGCCTACGAAGTTTCACGCCGAGTGAGGCGCTAATTTGAACTTGAATTTCGTAGAGAATGTATTTTCATTTTTGGTCAGAATAAATCAGAAACAGTTGGGCGAGAGAGCGAGCTCCATCCGAAGCGGTTTTCGCATCTACCCTGGGTCTCCTGGGATGAATCATCTGCGGGCAGGCGCAGTTTGAAGTCTCAAGCCTCGTTAAAATCTCTAATTCGCCTCTTCTACTCTGTGCTTCTACCTAAGGCTTTCCAGTGACTCTTCTGCGCATTTGGACCAGCTGCACGAGGACAGTCCAACAAACTGCATTCGCTTCAGAACTCGGTCCACAAATCCGGTTCTAGTAAAGCTCGTTGTCTAAACGGGCGACTATTACACCGAGCATGACCCTGCCTGCGTATAATTTACCATAGGCAGATGTTGAATGTAGTAAAGTACGGATCTCTCTCCCCATTCGGCAGTGGTTGCGCACTTGTTAAGTAGTTTCTAGTATAAAGCAAAATAATTAAAATGAAACAGAGTAAGCCTCCATCAGCCCTGTCAACGGATCATAACACAGTTCACGATTCTTCGCCGAATACCGGTCGATCCAGTGATAAATCAAAATAGAAAACGAATTTAGTTCAATAAACTACATATGAAATTTAAGTCCAAACCAGCGCCTCTACTTGAAACTTTTCCAGTAGTCACACTACCTGATTTATCCTGGACAATAACACTCATTTACTGCACAGCAGCCTAGTAATGTCTGTCACGAACTTCAGCTATAATTAAGTGTTTCAATCTTATCCCCATCGCTCCTTCCATAGTCCCACTGACCTTGAACAGCAATACTTGAATTTGTTCAGTGTGACTTTGTCTTTTTCCATTTTGTCTCCATTAGCTTTGTTTCGTGTTTCTGCACTGGTTCAGTGGCGGTTCCTTTGTTCACTGATTTTTTTTTGATTACCTGCAGTTCTGTAGGTAATTAATTTCTAATTTTTCTGCTGAAAATAAAATTTCCTGGCCATTTAACTGGCGCTTAAATGGTCCCCCAGGCCACTAAAACCAAAGGACTTCTTCAATCTGGTATCAGAAACTGAAAAGGATTATATATCTTAGCGTCGGTATCATTATCTATCGGTGAGCTAGTAAACCCGTAAGATCGGGTTTTATTTTTCTGTTTAAATATGCCTACGGATCGTGACGTGTTTAAGGCGTCCGAATACGCCCTTGTTCTGCCATGCCTAGTGCAGTTGTCATCCGTGCACTGCAGGAGCTCAAATACCATGGAGTCTTGGCCTGCTTTAATGGTTCCCTAGGCCACTAGGAGCAAGAGGACGGTACTTATGCCGTTTCAGTCCGACATTAAAAAATGAACATAATTGTTATTCTATCTTGATCCAGCGAAATTCTTCAGCTCGTCCTGCCACTGATCTGGAAGTCTTCCTACGGGTAATACGTTCTCTCTTGAAACTCGGTCTGTTGCCTGTCTGGTGAAGCAATGATCAGTTCTTCTTGCGACGTGTCCTGACCATTGCCACTTTAACTGATTCGCTTGGGCTGTGACGTCGCAGACACTTATTTGTGTTCTTGTTCACTCACGCTGTCTTCCCGTCTTTTCTTGCTCTTTCCATCCCAACTGGTATTTTTTTTGTCACTTTTCTACAGTTTATCGGTAGCTTTCAGACTGAGGGTCCACTCCAATGCCATCCAGAAATTGGCATTTGGAGCATATTGACCAAAATCTTTCCTTTTCAAGCACAATTTCAGTCTCCAAGGTAGAAACGTTTTCATTCTTTCAAAAGTGCTCAAAACGGTTTCTTAGTTTAATGTTGATTTATGAATCGGTTCACCGTTGCGGAGATGAGCTAGAAATCGATTTATCTTAACTGATATTGGTTATTGTCGTATTTGTTTTTTTAAATGCTTAACCGTTTGATAGATCCGGGTAACTTATGACGTCGATCCTGGAGTCTCTGTCTCCGTTAGACTATTTTGCCAGATTTTCCATGTCTTGAACGTTCTCATCAGACAAACGGAATTACATGGCTTCTATTTTGTGATCTCATTCATCGAGTGTTTTTCAGATCTTAGGATTGGCTGTCTAATTTTAGCCATCTGCCATTCAAAGAATACATGGCATGATGCACATACTTTTTGCCATGATTTCGTTTTGAATTAATACGAACCGTAGCGGGGGTTGATTTCTGCTGACCGGTAGCCAATATCTACTTCACTGGA